GATGGGCAACAAACGCCTACATTCAGCCGTGTCATGCTTACATCCCATGAATGAATAAGAAAAATAACCTCCTCGACCTCCTTCTAATCCTTCTATTAATGATTTTAAGTCACTGCCACTGGTTATTGCCTCCCTGCTAAAGGAAATAAGTCATTCTTATCCATTTTGTTGAGACACATTATCATTTTATACATATCAATTATATTTCCCCACCCCTCTCTGTCTATAGAAAATAACAACTTCTTGTATTAATAGTGCCTTTAATTTAGTGAAATGTTCTAAAGTGTTGCATTAGAAACAATGCCTTTGATCTGATTTGATTTATTTATTGTCATGTGTATTTATGACAAGGACTGTGAAAAGTGTTGTTTGGTGTTGCCATTCTCTGGTGCCATCTTAAAGCACAGAAAATAAACCAAAACACAGAATATAAAGCCAGAAAAATAAAAGAGTAAAGTTCATCTTATAGTCTTATCTCAATAACGCTCGGTGGTCTTTGGAACAGCTCCTGCTTCTAGGTCAGTTTTGGCCCTGGATTTGGACTCCTCCACCCCGATGCCGCGAGTCCGTGCTGCCAAACCGACGATACAGCTGTAACCGTGCTTCACTTTGCCATTGCTGCTGGAACAAAGGGTTGTCACGCTCCAGCCCCATCTTTTCTCCACCCAGTGCCACCAGCATGAGTTCACACTGGGCCAACCTTGCTGATGCAGCCGCCACCAGTGCTGCAGGGTCCTGCACTGGAACCAAACTTGCCACTGTTGCCAACTCTGCAGTCAGGTGCCCAGGCCTAGCCACGGGACCTGCAGCCTCACTCAACCTGCGAGTCTGGACCAGGGGAATAAGCCTGGGACCTGCTCCTCGCTCACCTGGAAACACTCAAGGAGATATTAGGTGCGATAGTAGATTTTAAGGAGTATCTTAAAGGAAGCAAGTGAGTTAGAGAGTAATAGGGAGAGAATTCTAGAACTTGGGGTTTGGGTAACTGAAGGCACAGCCTCTGGAAGAAAAATTATAATTGGGAATGCACAAGTGACTAGAATTAGAGAAGCACAGATATCTCAAAGGTTTGTGAGGCTGGAGGGAATTACGGAGATGGAGGGAGGAGATGTGGTGATTGAGAAGAGGTTGTGGAGGGATGTGAAAACAAGGCCAATAACTTTAAGGTGAAGACATTGCTAGAGTGGGAACCAATAAAGTACAGTGGTAATAGAGGATTGGAACTTGTTGAACTTAAGATTTGACAGCAGAGTTTTAGATTAGTTCAGGAGCCAGCCAGAGCACATATGCATACATACTTGTCCTGCTATTCAGGAATCTGTTGACATAAACCCCAATGTCTCTCAGAGATAGAAGGAACTGCCGATGCTGGAGAATCTGAGATAACAAGGTGTAGAGCTGGATGAACACAGCAGGCCAAGCAGCATCAGAGGAGCAGGAAGGCTGATGTTTCGGGCCTAGACCCTTCTTCAGAAATTTCTGAAGAAGGGTCTAGACCCGAAACGTCAGCTTTCGATGCTGCTTGGTCTGCTGTGTTCATCCAGCTCTACACCTTGTTACCCGAATGTCTCGGTCTTCCTTTATTCTACTCAGAACCTACCAGTTATTGTGTACTGTCTTGTCTTGCTTGTCTGCCTCAAAGAACCTTACCTCATGCTTCTCCTGTTTGAAATCCATCTGAAAATCTCCTACCCGCCTGACCAACCCATTGATATTATCTTAGAGCCTATAGCTTCTTTATCACTATTAACCACAAATTTTCATATGACTTGCAATTTACCAAATCATACCACAATATTTTGTTCTTATTCATTGATAAATACCAGGAACTGCAAACAACCTGTAATGAGCCCTCCAGAAGCCAACTCCAAACTGCTCCCCAGGCACATTACACTTAGCTTCCTGTTACTAAACCAATTTTAGATCTAACTTGGGAACAAAAACAAAGTTGCTGGAAAAGCTCAGCAGGTCTGGCAGCATCTGTGGAGGAGGAAACAGAGTTAACATTTCAGGTCCAGTGACCCTTCCTCAGAACTGATGGTGGCTGGGAAAACGTCAGTTTATATGCAGAAAATAGGGAGGTGGGTTGGGGTAGGGAGTAAACGATTGGATAGAGCCCAAAGAGAGAGAAAGACAGTTGGACAGACGAAGGAGTTGCTAACGATCAGGCTGGGAGGGTGAGTAGTTGTTAATGGGATTGTTAGTTGTTAATTTTTTCCGGAAACGTTAACTCTGTTTTCTCCTCCACAGATGCTGCCAGACCTGCTGAGCTTTTCCAGCAACTTTGTTTTTGTTCCTGATTTACAGCATCTGCAGTTCTTTTGGTTTTTATTTAGATCTAACTTGCCATTTGCCTGTGGATTATATGAGATTATGATTATCTGACCATTCTGCCATATGGAATCTGACCAAACATATTGCCAACACCCATATGGACTGTATCAAATATGCTATATTCATTGACATTCTTTTACCTCTTCAAAAAGTTCAATCATATTAGTCAGACATGATCTTCCTTAATAATCTATTCTCAATAACCTTGATTGATTCATGCCTCTCCAAATGATCACTGTCATTATCTCTCAAAGTCTCTTTCCAATAATTTACTTGCCAATGAGGATAGGCTGACTGCTATTTAATTACTGAACTTACTTCAGCCAAAATCATATTTTAGCATAGCTTAGTAACATCATCTTTTTTCCAGTTCAAAACGTTTTCTCTTGATTTGTCGTTATCCTTTGCCGTAGCTATTCTAATCGAACTGAGTTATGATCAATACAACCAAAATGTTCTTCCACTGATATACCTTCTGCCTGCCCACATTCATGTCCTAAAACTATCCTTCTTTTGCTAAGTTTGCAATGTATTGGCTAAACAAGTTTTTTTTAATGTGTTTTAAGGATTTTGTGTCCTCAGTGCCTTACAAATTGTATGTATCCCAGTTGATATACCCTAGGATTGCTGCCCTGTTAGTCCTACACTGCAGCAATTCACCTACATGTTTGCTGTTCTATTCTCCCTCTGACTGTTTGGGTGTCTATCATGTCTATATGGGTTGTGATTTGATTGCTCCAATTTTCCTTCTTCAAATCAACTCATTTAATTCATTTGATGTCCCTTCGAGCACATCATTCGTCTGCACATCTAAAATTATTTCCTTACCTCATATTGTAACCATATTTTTATTTTTATCCTCCCCTTATCCTATTTGAAATTCTAGTATTCAGGAATGTTGAACTGCCATTCCTGTCGACCCTGAACACATGCTTCAGTAATAGCTGCAATAACAGTGGTGTAGTGGTAATCATACTGGATCAGTAATCCAGAGTTCCAGACTAATGTTCTAATAAGGGGACACAAATTCTGATTCCACTATGGTAACTGATGGATTTTAGTTCAGTTGGTTAAATATGGAATCAAACCTCAGTTAAGTAAGGATCATTATGAACTATCATTGATTGCTATAAACACCACCTGAAAAGGGAAATCTCTTGTTTTTACTTGGTTTGGTCTCATGTGATTCCAAATCCACAACAATACAAGTGATTCTTGAGATCACACCCACTGCCTTAGTAAGCTCCTTATATAGACAATTCATGTGTTTTCTTTTTCTCAGCCTTTGCTTCATTGGCCTTCCATATTGGTTTACCAGTTTTCTGTCTTCTGTTTAAAAAAAAACATAAGAGTGTCAGAACACAGAGCAAGAGTAGGTAATTCAGCCCCTTGAGCTTGATGTGCCATTCTATACCATCATGGTTGATCTCATCTTGGCCTCAATTCCCCTTCCCTGTCCGCTCACCATAACCATTCAACCAATTACTGATTAAAAATCTGTCTATTTCCTTTGTAAGTCAACTCAATGTCCATATTTTGGGTATTTCCAAATTTGCTTCTTGTTTTTTTCTGAATCCATACACAGGTCTCACCCCATCAAAGCTCAGTTAAACTCGTCCTATAGGTGCTAGCAAACTGGTCTGACAAGATGGAAATAGCAAGAACTGCAGATGCTGGAGTCAGAGTCAATAGGTATGGAGCTGGAGGAACACCGTAGGTCAGGCAGCATCAGAAGAGTGACCTTCCAACTCCTCTGATGCTGCCTGACCTGCTGTGTTTCTCCAGCTCGACACTGTATTTGTCAGACAAGATGTTGATTTCAGCCCCTTTTCAGTACAGGCTCTGTATCCCTCGCAATGCCCCAGGAATCTAAAGCTACCCTTCTGCACCACCTCCACAGCCACACACTGCCCACCAATTTCTGTATTCGCTAACATGTTGCACCCGGATTCATCTGCAAATTTCGGGGTTTGAGATTTGGAAAACTTTGAGGTCCAATTTTTTAATTCCTTTCCCAGCTCTTTAAAATCTATCTATAGGACTTCATCCCTCCTGCCACCCACCTCACTGGTACTGAAATATGGTCCTCTGGCTTTTTTAACCCACATCCCATCGAAAATATTTTCTTACTTCATGTGTAGTATTCCTTTTATTGTTAATTTCACATTTCACTATAATTTTCACTTTATGTTAGTTTGCCAATGTACTGTGCTTTCGTGTTTTGTCAATTCCATTGTTAATTTCACGAGCTGTGTAAATTTCACTGTGTTAATTTCGTCATATGTTGTACTTATTTCAACTATTAATCTCATTGTGTGTTAATTTTAGTGTTTCACTGTCAATTCTGCCATGTGTCGCGTTAATTGCGCTGTTAATTCCATTGTGTGTGGTGTTAATTTTACAATGTGTTGTGGTTATTTTCAACGTGCGTTAATGTCACTGTGAGCTCCGTGTGAATCCCTGTATCCTTCTGTAAGTTGCAGCCTCCTGTATCAGTTTTCGATGTCGGGGGAGAGCGGTGGATGTAATAATTTTTTTTTCCCCCTCTCTGGTTTCATTCTCCGGTGAGCTGATAGGAGCCCCGCCCCGACATGCGCTCTGTCGGCAGTTGGCGGTGTTTGGAGCCGCCTCTCTCGCCTGGTGAGTGGGGGAGAGAAGCCGCAGAGCCTGGAATCGCCATCCTCCTCCTCCTCCTCTTGCTGCTGTGAGTGTGCACGGTGCGCACAGAGACACTCGGAGCCGAGATGAAGGATCGTACCCAGGAGCTTCGGGCTGTGAGTATCCACAAACTGAGGAGGGAGTCGGGGATGCTCTGTGTGTGTGTGTTTCTAACGGGGCTTGGGGAGGTGCCCTGGCTGCGGGGCTTTTTGATGAGCTGCTGCAGTCTGGGGTATAGCATCCGGTTTGATATCGCCCTCGATACATCGCGTTGCAAAGACGTGCTCCTGGGCACAGGAGCCAGTGTGGAGCCCAACACCCTGGGGTGGGGAAGAGGTGGTGGGGGACCAGCTCTGAACTTTAGCCGCATCCCTTGCAGATCACGGGCTTGAGACTGGTCTGCCCCAAGGACCGTGAAGCTTCACCTATCTATGTGTGTGTGTGTGTGTGTGTGTACCGTGCCTGCAGCCTCACTCACAGCAGAGATCCCTGTGCTCTGGCGTTAGCGGGGGCTCCGCTCGCTGTCTGTGGGTAACAGGAGCTGCAGGTAAAGCCCCTCTGTAGCTGTGATTGATCCCTCTCGCTTCTGAACCGAGGCATCGGGTGAATACTGAGCAGCCCCCATTTCCTTAATCTCTTCTCCCCCCCGACTGAAACCTGCTGGCGAGTGATGCAGTTTAATCAGATTGTCGACGCTCTGTCCGGAACTACCAGCCTACCTCCCCTCCCCAAACCAACCCCCCCCCCCACTACATCCGGACAGTCAGAATCAGCCATCCCCCACCCAGTGACCGGCTGTATGGAGCATTTCGACCAAGACGTGATTCTCGTTCAAGAGAATGGAGCCCCATTCGGGGGTAGGGGTGGGGGTTGTCATGTTGCCACCCTCACGGCTTTCACCTGGTGACTTCACCCTCTCTGTCAGTCAGCCTCTGTGACCTGTGAGATCACGTTGATTTCTAAGTGTTTGTTTTGGAAAGTCAGTCACAGAAGATGCCTCGTCTATTGCTATATTATCTTTTTAGTTCTCCCCTTTCGGAAAAACATTCAATTCTTCAGTTTGAGCCCCTGTTTCTCCAGTACCTTGTCCCCTCTCTTGCGGGTGCTCCTATCCAGAACGTAGATGGTCGCTACGTGTGTGGGTGATGGGCTACTTAACAGTGGGCTCCTTCAATGAATAGCAAGTGGAAGTGCAGATTTAAAAATAAAATCCACTTCATTCTCAGGGAACACAATTTGGCATTGGAGTAGCTCTCTGATGTGGAGCAGTCATGAACTGTCTAGCCCGTATGGTTTCTCTGACATCCATCAACCACTGACATGGTGCTACCTTTGGAAGGGGCTCAATAACATTGGATAAAATAGAATGTCAGTTGGTACCAGTAGAGTTTAGGGGATCTTGTGGACAGGCCTCTCGTTCACTTGTTGGATTAGTGAGTATCAATAGGGGATGGTCCCCAGCTGCAGCTAGGGACTGACCAGTGGCAGGAACACCAGCTTCAGTGTTGGGTCACTACAATGTCCTGCACAAGTGGCTGCGGGAACCTTTGTAGGAAAGAGTAAACTGTAAGGCAAAAACACGTTCCTCGGGCTGTTTGAAGTGCGTGAGAATTAGCCAAGGATGCAGAAGGCATCCAAATCAATGGTGTCGATTGGCTCAGTGGTCATCCTCCATGACTATATCTGTGAGGAAATCACTTCAGAGTAGGATACGTGGGTAAACATAACAGGAGAAGTTGCAAAATCATATCCCCTCAAGACTTACTGCACTGTGCATTGTCACCAAATAAAATTTTGCCACTTGGAATATGCTGTCTAGTCTGTTATTCTTTTATGTTGCAAACTGTCAGCGATAGATAACTCAAACATATTCAGTTCTTAGGCAAAACTAAACAGGTAAAGGAACCAACAGATTGTGGATTGTAAATCTGTCAATGGGAAATGATACTGAATAATTACAGAGTAGATAAGAAGTTATGGGAAATGAATTGTCCTTTGCAGCAGTGACTCATCAACTGCTATTGGCTTTTAATGACCTCCTGTCTTTCCTTGCCATTGGCAGCAATATGAAGCATACTGTTCAGTTTTGCCCGCTGTTATGACATATTATGGTCCCCATTCAGAAATACAAACAAATGAACTGGAAACATATAGCATCTGTGGAGAGAGAATCAGAGTTAATGTTTCAAGTGGCTGACTTTTCATTAGGACAATTCTCAGAAAACGCCAATGACCTGAAAAGTTAACTCTGTTTCACATTGCAGAGATGCTGCTTGGTCTGCTGGATGTTTCTATGTTTTTGTTTGATTTCAGGTTTCCAGTTCTGCAGTATTTTGCTTTAGCAAACGCGCAAATTGATTTTTGCAACCCGCGTTGTGAGGCTCTTGCACACTTGTGAGCATTGTTGCATCTGATCTTTACCAGGGTATAGAATTCTGTGACAATGTCTCTAGCCATCGTTGACAATATCGCTGAGGACTCAGCCACTCAGCCTTCCGTGTTTGGTAGTTTAATTCTGATCCAAAAATGTGTACTCCCTACCATAGGCACCGTGTTATGGTAACTTATAAAACTTAATTTCTGTTCTATTCTATGTATGATCCACATCCAATAATCTGCTTTCTGCACATGGCATGCACGATTAATATGTTGTTGAAATACTTTCCCTTCCTATTTAGGAATGTACTTGAGTTGTTACTGTGAACATAACTGGTTACTTGGGCACGGTTAATGTGCCTTTAAATAAACTAGTAGTGTGGTAAAACTGTAGCTACATCTGCTGAAGTGAATATGGGCAGGTGAATGATGAAACAGACTTCAGTTACTGACTGCATGTGCATTAGAATGACATCGTGACTGCTTCCTATTGTACGGGTGCATCAGTGTTTCTTGTATTATAACAATTGAAGCCAGTGATGACCTTCAATGTTGCTGGTAATGTAGAGTGAATGGTTCACTGTTCTGGCATGTTGTGAAGCAAATGGAACATGTTATTCATAGTTTTCACTGTGGATCCTGAACCTGCTTTGACATTGTTCCTTCCTGAGAATCAGGTAAACATATGTCTTGTGTTTTATCTAAGGGTGGTTTGTTCTGAACGTGAAAGCCCTTACAGAAACATTTCAAGCAGGGTTATCTTATTTTTCCCAGACTGGTGTAAAGCCGTCTGGTGTAGAACCTTACCCATATTCCTCCCAAATAATGTCTCACTCCTCTTTAATAAATAATATAATTAATTTATTTTCTTGGTCATCACCCCCTTAGCCAGTATACCCCAGCTATATGGCAGTGATGTCCCAACCAACTCGCAGCCACTTCTCGTGCTGTATAAAATGGTTTTTGTTTTTTTCAAGTCTGTTTCTTGCATCCATTTCTGACAAGTGCAGCATAAAAAGATACAATGTCTTGTCTTCTTTTAGAAATGTCTAAGTTGTAAAACAAAATCGTAATTTGTGTTCTCACACTTAAAAACAGCCATGAAAGTGATTGGTTCACTAATGTCCCTTTGAGAAGGAAAACTGCTGTCTTACAGGTCTAGCCTGCACGTGATTCCAGACACATGTTCCAGACCTGACTGTTGATGTCCTTTGGGCAACTCGATTACAGGGCTGAGTTACTGCCTCAGTAATACTACCCTTTGAATAAAACCTACGCATAATCAGAGAGTCAGAATGGCAGTGATTATGTGTGTTCATTATGTACCAGCAGTGACGAAAGACCTTAAATGTATTACATCAGAACTCGGCTCTTTATTCAGTGGGAAAATTGTCAACAATCATTTAAAAACTATTGGCAGCAAAGAACAAACATGAAGTAATTGGTTCTACAGGACAGTAAATGCTGCTGGTTGGGATTCTGCCAGTCCCTTGTGATGTGTGAAGCAGGTGTTGCAGTTACTAGTGGGTGCTTTATGTAATATGGTTTATTGTTTAGATTTCTGAAAATGTTTTCATCATGAGAAATGTCTTAAGAGTGAGCAGATTCATGGTGATGGTAAAACTGGAATGTGACTGTTTAAATCTGAAATCATTTTCTGGGGAGCACAAATGTTGAATCAAAATGAAGGTAAAGCAGTATCTGCATTATTGTTCTGACATGCAATGGGAAATTCTGGCATGCAATGCCCAGACAACGATCTTACCAATTAGAGAGAGAACATAAAAAATAGGTGCAGGAGTAGGCCATTCAGCCATTTGAGCTTACTCTTCCATTCTACAATCTTGGCTGATATTCTACCTCAACTGCACCTGCTTGCATTGTCACTATCTCTTAATTTCTGTAGTATTCAAAAATCTATGGAACTCTGCCCTACGTTTACTTAACAATCATGCATCCACAGATATCTGGGGCAAAGAATTCTAAAGATGTACAAACTCATTGAGTAGAGAACTTTCTATTTGCAGTCTTAAATGGATAGCTGACAAATTCGGAGACTGTGACCTCTTGTTCTAAACTTCCCAACCAGAGGAAATATCCCTCTGGCAAGAATCCTATTAAACCCTTGCAGGGGTTTTCATGTTTCAGTGAGATCACTGTTCTTTCTTCGAAATTCTAGCAAATAGAGACCTAGCGTACTCGGTCTGTATTCACAGGACCATCCCTTCATCCCAGGAATCAGGGCTGAATTTTATTTTAGGTTTCCTTTTGTGATTTCTCAAGAACTACTTTCTGATGTTCACGTGCTAGGTTTTGGTTTTGGTTTTCAGTCTTTCTGAGTCTCACTGTCATTATGTGATGCAGTTACTTCTTAACAACACTTTCTGTGTTTGCTTTCAAAGATGGACCCCTTGGACTATAGTAGCAGAATTGGAAGAATTTATCAATATCCCTAATAAGCATCATGGGTAAAAATTAAAACCTCAACACACAAGAAGAGCATTAATTTCCTACCCGCAGCGCTATTTAAATTGGATAAAACAACATGCATAAGGTAGCAACAACTTACTTTTTAACAAAAATTATCACACACTTCTATACGCAAAAATCAATCGCGCTAAACACACTTTCTGCAGACTGGTGTAGTCACAGCTAAACAGTTGCATATTTGTCTCTAACAAAGTCACTGCACCTCACTAATTCATAGTGTGTAAGATGTTTTGAGATGTGATAACAACAT